GTTGTTGATGAATGTCTGTATTTGCCGGAAATGCTTTTCGTGACGCACCAAGTTTCTGAACCAGATAGCAGCACTAACTTGACTGACGCTGGTGTTAAAAATCTGGATCTTGTTCATTGAGCTGAGTGGAGTATAGTAGATCTCCACATTGGTTTCAGGTTAATGAGAGCCTATCTTGCTGTCTTTCCAATCCTGGCTGGCTTTGACGTCCTCGTCTGTGCCACCACCGCCACCTGTAGTTGAAACGACTCTGCTTAGGTAGAGAGGTAGGTGAAACAGACTACTTCCTTTAGGTTTCTCCCGTTAATGATGATTGGTGCTTGTTGTTGATACTGTTGTTGGTTGGGCGTCTTCATCATCTCCATCTTCTCTGCATTCACTTAAGTCGCGTTTTCGCTTCCTCGCATCTTCTGTCAAACTGTTAGTTTTTGCCTATAGATCTTCAAGTTTGTGTAATATTAGACATAAATCATCATCGTTGGTGAAATCTAAGTCTTCTTCTGGGGTCTTTTGATCGGTTCAGCCAGTTTCTGCCCACCTTCCCGCTCTTAACGGTTTACTGTATGATCCAGTCCACCACAATCAGGAAGATCATTGGTGATAGTAGGCACTCCTTAATTCCTAAGGAAAGTTAGAATTTTTTTTTATGAAGAGGTTGTCTAATGAACCAAATATACCTTCTGAGTGAATTCCATTAGTAGTTTAGTTTTGTGGCAATTTGAAGTAGGCAAAATCTAGAAAATATTTTGTCTGATCACCGAAAATTTAGAATTTTCTCTAGTCTAACGTTTTTACAATGTAAGTATACTAACTGTTTTTACTTTCTACATAACTTGCATTTTCACTGAACTGTGAAAATCAAATATTGCATGGTAATTCCATCTATTGTCTATCTAGCAAAATATTTTCAGTCAGATAAAATAGTCTTTGCTTTTACACTGGATGTCAAATTTAATCTGACATACACATGACGCTACAATTCCTAATTTCATAAACTTTAGCTGATGAATTGCATGTATCCCTTCCACGATTATCAAGTGCCAAATTGTAATTTATATCACTTATGTATCTGAGGTTTCTAGCAAATAAATAGCGACTCATGGCATATTATTCTTCTACTCTCATGAGTTGTAGGAGAGTATACTTGATTAAACTAAAGGTTTCATCAATGAAATTGCTGACAGTCAGTCAGTTTCAATCACATTGTCTACAGAAATTGGAAGTTAAACTCTCCTAAATCCGTTTACCTTTAATATTGATTCTAAGAACGCTTAAAAATACATTTTTAAGTGTAATTCAATATATCAATCTACCGAATAATAGTATATAATTACAATATTTGATTGCATATATATTCAGGTCGTGTTTGTAGGGATTTAAGTACTCAAATTGGTTTTCTTTACACACAGCGCACTCATACCACTGCTACGTGCTCAAGAGCACATATTTCAAATTCCGAAACTAGTTCAGTAAACTTTATTTATTGATTATAGAGAATGTTTGAAGCTAACGAGAATGATTTTGACGGTATCAAAATCATTCCACTGAACTACAAGTATTCGTTATTATCTCAAGATCTTACAAACATCAAACACTATTTTATTGTTTTTGAAATGAGAGGTCTTTGCCAACAGACAGGTATCCAGACAAGAATAACTAAATTTTCTTTATCAGTGTCTGATTTAGCATATTTTTCTAACTAATTTCAGATGTGAACCACCCATTGAATATTCGATGGACTAGAAAATAGTGAAACATGATTAAGAAAAAACAACATCATACTGTGTGTAATGTGGGTGTGCGATGGGACTTAAAGGTTTTCTAATAAAACTTGAAGAAACTCAATCACTTTAAAAGAGTTTCTGTAAAATTAGCGAAAACCTTTGGCATAGTTTCTATGGAGACATACAATTATCAGTAGTCAGTAGAGGGAATCTAGGAGTGACCAGAAGCTACTTTTATTTTCATTTCGGAGTCAGACACCTTGAAGCTTCAAAGAGTTTACATAATAGAAGTCTAGTATGCAAAGCATCGCTTGGCTTTGTTGACGGAATTTGTGTCATTCAGATGTTTCTTGTTACTAACCTGATATAGCCTTGATTTCAAAAAACTTGTCCTGATTTATGGAATGATGACAGAATTTGAGATGAAATATCATATCATGGTAGAATTAAGATAAGCAAACTCTAGATTACTGACCAGGAGCTGTATTGACTGAACAACATTACCTTTCGGATGACTGGGTTAGAAGCGTAACAGAAATCTTTCTGTGAACTGCTTGTCTGAGATAACAGAATAAATATTTTATCCTACCAGTTGTATGGTTATATGCTGGCGTAAAGCAAAGTACTTATCAAAAGTGAGCGGAGAGATTACAATCTTCGAAGTAGCAAAAATATTGGGTGACGACAAGTTCTAGTTTCCTGAATTGAATAAGGTGTCAGAATAACGTCTCATCAGTTTCCATGGTTGGATAACTTCATTACCATTATCGATAAACACTAGATACTTAAAATATGAGTTTTCTAACCTTGATATTAACATTCTACCGGTTTAAAAAGTTATTTTTATTATTTTATGTGGCTGAATGCTATGTAATGATACCGTTCGGGGGATTTTCCGTTGTTGAAGATAATCTGGTATTGTTTTTAGAGTTCATGATGCATATTATTATCTCAAGCTACACTTATTTATGTATGCAGTCTGATTATTAATGCAGTCCTGTACCAAACAGTTTAATTTCTCAGCTAGATGATGAAGTCTTGAACGTCAAAAAAAAGACATACTTCCAATTTAATCTGTTTGTTAGATATTTCACACAGAAACAGTACTAGATAATGTTTCGGACTGAATTTATTGTCCATATTCATATCACGTGACTAACTCTACGACTTCGAGACAGAGTTTAAATAGTCCTTATTTTCTCTTCTTCTCTGTGATGACAAGGGTAATAGAATTTTCCACACATCTGGGACAGATGTACAATCCTTTCTAATACTGCAAGTATTTCATATTCATTTGAATCGCTACCTAGACTTCAAATAATCTCACTTTGATTTCAGTTAAGGTAGGCTTAACTAAATGCCTAAGTGATAGGACATAAAAGAATACTAGTAGACCAGAAAATCTAAGACAGGGAATTAGACACATCAAGAACACCCTCCATCTCAATAATCACCCACCTTAATCTATAAATGAATTCATCATACATACATCAAAAGAAAAACATCAGCACCAGTATTACAAGCAATACAAGTGTTATCAATAGTAATTCTACCAAGAATACTAATAATGGTTACAGGGTTGAGAGATAATTCAAAGCCTCCGCTGTGTTACTGTAGAAGGAAGACACCTCAGAAGCGTTGAGAAGGATTCTCAGTAAGGCCGACTGGGATTAAAGTGGCATTTAAACCAATAAACAGACTTTGTGAGCTAAAAGATCCCATCGATGCAATTAAGCAAAATATATGGGTCAGAGGAGTCGACCAGGGTCGATTGGAATAACAGAGCACAAAAACTTAGCTAAGTCAAGTAAATCCTGGTAAGATGAGAAATTTAGAGAAAAGCTCGGCTATAGCTCTCCACTCAACTACACACAATCACACTGTAGGGTGGAACAACACAGTGACAGTATCGAAAACTGACTTAGTTAGGTGGAGGGAAGTGGAGATTGATAACCGAATCTGGCTTCATCGAATCAACACCAAATACATCGAATAACAGAAATGATTCTGCACCTGATCAAGATAGATAAAGAATTCTATTACCCTTGTCATCACAGAGAAGGAGAGGAAATTAGGACTTTATAAACTCTGTCTCGAAGTTGTAGATTTAGTTACCTGATATGAATGTAGACAATAAATTGTCTCCGAAACATTACCCAGTAAATGAAACTATTTCCCACTTTGTGATATTTCTAATAAACAGACTAAAATGGAATGACAATCGACCACAGTGCCCAATTTTTACTCTTATATAATCAGTTAACTATTATTTGTGTTTCTTACAATTCAAGTGGTCATAGCAATGAACTGGAATGGATTGTTATCAAATGTAAGGGAGCGATTTCACGCATTTATAAGAACACAATATTGATGAGTACAGTCCATGTGAAAGTTATGGTCGCACATTTATAACACACGAACATGTATACTTCATTGGAAGCGAATTACAAAGTAAAGATATTACCAATCAGACCAGATAAGTGTTGAGAGTCTGTCTGAATAATTACAAGTTACAGAACCATAGAATTAATGATTACCAGTCAGTTAAGACGAACTTGGGAACTGACGTTACTGCATTCCAATTCATGTTGCTATACCATCTATCAGCACATCCTTCTATGGTAACACAGGAGTGGCTTTGAATTCTCTCCTAACCCTGTCTCCATTACTGCTATTAGTAGTAGAATTATTATTAATAACACCTGCATTCTACTACTACCACTACTACTACTACTACTACTACTACTACTACTACTACTACTACTACTACTACTACTGCTACTACCACTACTGCTACTACCACTACTACTATTACTAATACTACTACTACTACTACTACTGCTACTACCACTGCTAATATTTTTCTTCCTATGTATCTTGAATTCATTTATAGATTTAGGTGGGTGATTATTGTTTTTGGAAGGTATTCTTGACGTGTCTAATTTCTTTTCATAGATATTTTCTTGCCTACTAGTAAGCTTTTCCGCCCTATCACTTAGACATTTAACTAGGCCTACTTTAATTGAGATGGAGTGGGAGGAGTTGAAGTCTAAGTAGCAATTCGAATGGGAAAGTTTCGTATAAACACTAGTGTTTAAACTTCCATCTCAGTATTACAATCTATCACAGTGTTCAGGTTTTACTACCATATTATGAGTTGAATGAATAATTATGAATGTTATTTCATCAGAATGGATGATACGGACACCGTTTTTAATTTGAATAGATTCTTATTCATACATAATTAAATGAATCTGCTGATTTCTCTGTTTTCAGGGGAGAAGAAAAAGAATCAGCTTCATTTATAAAACGTTTTGCGTAATTCTGCGTATTCCTTAAATGATATGACGTCAAAAATGGATGAAGCCAATGCAGGACTTATAAATGCACCTCCCCATTCACGAACTAAAACACGTCCACCAGGGAAATGCACTTTGGCAAGAAGAAGTTTAAAGCATATGTTTAATATGCGAAAATATTATTTATCAGTGATTGGATTAACTGGTTTCGAAGCTTTATTAGTATTATGCAGAGTTATACTGGAAACAGAATCATTACGATTACCTGTAAGTATTGAAATACTTTGAAGAATATAAACTGTCTTTATCTGTCTTTGATGAATTCACTAAAGTTTTACGATGTTATTTGTAGTTATGTTGGGATGACTCTAAGCAATTTGATTTCTGACAGTGGACAAAAAGCTTGTTTTTTCAACTGCTATATTGAAGTTTGAAGTGAGAATGTCAGCAAAGAGCTCATAATTAGTGTTTACGTAATTCACACTGTTTGTTGGTAAATCATTTAATTTCTTCTAGGCGAATGGATTGGTGTTCGATGGTTGGAAACAATGAACAGGAAACCACAAATCTAGATTTCATGTTCTCCGAAACCCCTTAACAAGGTTCTTATACAATCACGAAAGAACAGAGGTCTTCGCAGAGATCTACATACTGGATTACTCACTGATGAAGTTAAAGACTTTACTAATCAGCTATGACCTACAGTTTTCAAATTAGTTGTCTCTTTTCATCCAGAATGGAAGGTCAATCTATTAGAAAGAAAACACCGCGAACTAAAATGTTTTATGGATTTGCATCTTTTGTGAACCTCAAGTTTATCGACTTTGAAAAGGCCTTCGATAGCGTCGACAGAGAAGTAATTTGGCAACTGCTTCAACACTACGGAATACCACAAACCTTTATCAACCTCATTCAGCAACTATATGGAAACGCCACATGCCAAGTAGTTCACAATGGGAAGCTCAGTGATGCCTTTGAAGTGAAGTGAAGACAGGGGTAAGACAAGGGTGTCTACTATCACCAATGATCTTCCTGATTGTGGCAGACTGAACTGGATCATATAGCCAGTAATGAGGAGCGAGAAGAGGGGGATACGCTGGACCTCAGAAAAGAACCTAGAAGATTCAGATTTCACCAACGATGACTTGTATCTAATTTCGCACAAACTCGAAGATGGACAGGCAAAGACGAACAAGTTGATGGAAAAGGCAGGTTAACGAAGTAAGACGGGACTTCAAGTGAACGTAGAGAAGACAGAGATGATAAAGATACCAAAACAAAAACAACAACAACAAGCTCCAGTCACCAGCAAACGGAGAAACTTAAAGGAAGTAGTCTCGTTCACCTATCTAGGAAGCACCGTTTCAACTACAGATCGTGGTGACACAGACGAGGACGTCAAAGTCAGTCAGGATCGGAAAGACACAAAGACAGGAGTTCATTAACCTGAAATCAGTGTGGAGATCTTCTGCACTCCACTCAACTCAACTCAACTCAACTCAGCATAAAGCGTGAACAACATCCACATTTTCAACACCAACGTCAGTCAAGTGAGTCAGTGCTCCCATGTGATGATTCAGAGACATGGTGCGTTACGAGAAGCATTTGCAACAAACTACAGACATTCATCAACAACTGCCTACACTGGCTCGATACTGAAGCTCAGATGGGCAGAATAGTTAAGTTAGGATAAGCAACAAGGAACTCCTTATGGCTGGCTGGCTGGCTGACTGGCTGGCTGGCTGGCTGGCTGACTGGCTGACTGGCTGACTGGCTGACTGGCTGGCTGGCTGGCTGGCTGGCTGGCTGGCTGGCTGGCTGGCTGGCTGGCTGGCTGGCTGGCAACCAACCAACCAACCAACCAACCAAGCAGCAACCCATCACTCAACAAACATGCAGAAGGAAGTGGAGATGGACTGGATTGGGCATTCACTGAGAAGGCCGATTGGGGACATCAGGCGCCAGGCCATGCCAGGCCAGTTCCTCGTGTGGAAATCAGATGGGAAATGACGATTTCGGCCGTCCGAGGTGAGGGTGACATGGAGGAGATAGTGTGAGGAAGAAAAGAGAGGTTGTGGTCAGTCGTGGAGCCAGGTTCAAAATATTTCAGAGAACATAGTAGAATGGGGACATGTTACTGAAGCGATATGTTCCCCTAGGAACTCAAGGGACAAATAATAATAATACAGTGTCGAATTACTCCGTGTTAGTTAGGAGATGGGTTCCTGCGAGTCTCAAATTCTACCGGTATGCATCAAATAAACTACAATGTATTATTATGAATGATATGTATTTCAACTTATAAATTAACCTACAAATATTTTCGACATACAAATAGGAAGCGTTGTCTTAAAACTGGTTTAAGATACTTTGTTCTGCTGAGATTTTTAAGAAAAACGATTGGCTTTTCGAGTAGCTTGAGACTTATTCATTAGTTTTGTCACGATAAAATCATCAGTTTCTTCAAACCAAACAGGTGGAGTATTTTTGACAGTTGACTAAAATTTCCTATATTCTGAGTAATATTTGACTTTATCAAGACAAATAATTGATATTTCATTATGAAATTCAACCAGAAGTCACATTTTACCCATAAAATAAAAGTCTAACGTATGTATCAGATATAAAAATACCATTAAAAAATGGGTAGGAGTTCAAGTAAAAGAAATTTTATTCGCATGTCAAATTAAGGAGTTTGTCTTCAGGTTATTATCGTTGTTATTTTTCTCTTGGGTTCCTAGTGGGACACACCGTTTCAATAGCACCTCTGTATTGCACTCTCTTCTCTGCAGTCTTTTGAACTTGGCTCCACGACTGTCCAAAAAGCTTTCATTTCTTCCTCACATCATCTCTTTCACGTCACCCTCGCCTCGGACTCCCAGCTCATCGTTCACCCTTTAGACTCAACTCGAGGACCTGATGCGTGATGTCTTCAAATGGTTTTTTCACTATAGGTCCAATCTATCTTCACTTTTTTCTTCATATTTGTTGGTTGATTCGTCGCCAGCTACAGTTTCTTGTTGCTTATTCTTTCTGGCCATCTTCAGTAATGAACGTAGGTAGTTGTTGATGAATGTCTGTAGTTTGTTGGAAATGGTTTTCGTGACGCACCAAGTTTGTGAACCATATAGCAGCACTGACTTGACGTTGGTGTCCAACTTCCGGATTTCTTTTCAAGTTACTGACTCAAATTAACTATCTTATTTCTAATCAAGACATTTGGTTCAGTTACAAGATTTGAAGTTAGTGCTAATGAGTCATTCTACAGAGGAGTGTCTAAATACAGCTACTTTATGATTATGTCTTCTGTGGGTAGTCCAGCTTTCTTTGTTGCTGCTATATGATCATCATCATCATAGCCAAGATCATTATAGGACGAGGTATTACTACGTAACGGTCGAAGTTGTCATGCCTCATATCTGCACATCAATTAATGGGTGAATAAAGTGAAAAATGAAAAGGGGGAGAAAAATCAGTTAAAAGAAGTAGAAGTTAGTACAACAGAGGAGGGGAGAATGAGAAAATAGTGAGATTAAGCATGATAGTTAAGATGAGGATAATGTTTGTACGCATCTGCTCCACTAACGTCTATTCTGAGCCATATCACCTAGAGTCTGCAACTACTGGTTTCTATTGTCCTGTGAACCCCAATCGGCTAGTATGCATCGCTCTATACAGCGCAAACGAACAGCCAAGGACTTCATGCATTGATGCCATGTCCTGGTCTGATCACCCCGAGCCTTTTTCCAGCCTGAACATACTTCAGCCAGCATTGTGTGATGAGCAGATGGTAGATAGGTATACGTAACACATGTCCTAGCCAGCCATCTGAGTCGACGAAGGTTCACAACTACATTAACTGACTCACCTATCTTCCCTAAAACTCTATGTCTGACTTCTGAGTTACTCACGTGGTGACACCATGAAACATGGTCTATACTATGGGAGGCAACGGTGATCAAACACTTGAAGTCTTCTCATGTAGTCTGTCTTTAATGCTCATGTTTCACAGTCATACAGTAGAAGGGGACGGACTGCAACGCAGTAAACTTGACCCTTATTAGACAGTCAGATATCGCGGTGGTGCCAGGGACGGTATAGCTTTGCAAAGTCAATGAAGCCTTTTGTATCCCTTCAGAGATTTCATCAGCCACTGACCCAATTACCGGGGCTGATTCGACTTCCCAGGTAACTTCAACTTAGAACTTTTACAGTTCAATTTTTTTATTTTTGTCCTGCTAATTCGTTGATGATCTATATGTGTATATCTCTCGACTCACAGAGACTGACTTGAGTACAAATATTAGGTGATCTCTAAATTGTTGTTTAGTCAAATACGTATTTATATTCTGAAGATTATTTCATTGTAACAAGTGACAAAACTAGCCTATCGCTTTCGATAACCTATTAAACAATATTTACTAGTTTCTAATCAACTTTCATATAGTTTGAACTCACTATAACTATGACCTTCAACTTTGACCTTGATTTTTATTATTTATTTTCTGTACTCATCATTATTTGAAATTATTTTTCTTCTAGTAATTTAGACCCATTAAGAATGGAAGTTTGTGTTACATGACAACTTTTCAATAAAAAAAAACAGGTAGTCTGAAGTACTCATACTTATGTAAAGGTGTATAAGAGATAAGCACCTGCTTGTAGTCATTACAATAGTGGTGGACAAAAGGTTAGGTCAAAAAAACAGTTCACATATTGTATATGAATCACTTCGACTATTTTTCTAAAGGAATCTATTCTCATTATTCATAAATACTCCCAATAAATCAATATTTACTGGGGTTTTTTTTAAAAATGTTTTTCTTATTTCAAGCCAGGAAATACTCAACGAATTATTTTCGAAGGACAATTAGCTTTAGAAGGTTTTAGTATATTTATATTGACATTATTTGTCATTGAGGTACCATTCAAAATATGGGCTATGGGAATACGTCAATGGGGTCGTCAATTATTATTCATTATTGATGGAATTGTTTGTATTGTCTGTTTTGCATTGAATGTCTACAATATTTATCGACATGTAATTAATCCAGCACGAATGATAAATGATTCAATAAAAGTTATAGAATTATGCAATTATACACATATAACTTCACAAGCTGATACAGCGTCTACATTTGCTGAGATAGCTGGTCTCATTATTATCTACAGATTATGGTATATCAAACAATATATAAAAAGTGAGTCAGTTTCATCTATTTAACTTTATCACTTGTATGATGAGACTTTAACGTATAAGGCATAATTGAAATAAATGAATAAATTTTAAGGGGGTTGTGGAGATTTGGAAATATTTCAAGTTGTTATTCATCGAAGACTGACATCAGTTGGAGGAACAAAGGAAACCTGGGTGCGCACTGCTGAGGAGTCCCATACTAGGACGAAACAGCTGTCCAGTGCTCCCAGGTTTCCTTTGTTCCTCCAACTGATGTCAGTCTTCGATGAATAACAACTTGAAATATTTCCAAATCTCCACAACCTCCTCAAAATTTAGTTGAACTAGTGCTCGTTGGTGACTAGCTTCGAGAAGTATTCCCGAAGTTCCAATGGGAAGTCGTGACCGGTGGAGTCAAAGCATTATGGCCGTGAGGACAAATATTCAACGATGACATTGGGTGGCGGTTTGCTCTATATCGTGAGCTAACAGAAGTTGGAAATATGGAGCGTTGAATCCTGACCCAGTGGCTCAATGGTAACGCGCTGGTCGCGGAACCTGAAGGTCGCGGTTTCGAGCCCTGCTGGTGGAGTCGTGGGTGCGCACTGCTGAGGAGTCCCAGACTAGTCGGACGAAACAGCTGTCCAGTGCTCCCAGGTTTCCTTTGTTCCTCCAACTGATGTCAGTCTTCGATGAATAACAACTTGGAATAAACTTTACATTATTATGCTTAATATTTCATGGTTAGGAAAACTTTATTTAGATACTGAGTTGGTATTATTTACTGAAAATTTCTGCTTAGAATGTTGTTGATAAAAGTTATTAGAAACGAAATGACGCATCAGGGTCCACTGGTCTTTGAAGTGATAGTTATGTGCGTTAATATTACATCTGTTAGCGTGGGAACAATATCACTGGGGTGCAGGTACATCCAGCTGATGAGACCTAGATGAGATGAAACATGCGTCCTGGATTCTTCTATTAGCCACAAACAAATTATCATCATTAACATTCAGGCAATATCAAGAAATCCTCATAGAAGCCCATATGTCAACAGAGGTCGAACAATTCGATCCAACAAAACAAGAGAGACTAACAAGTATGTCAGTAAATAATAATAACATAGTGATCCAGTATTATTTACTATGATGATGACGTTTCGAGCATACATTATCATTGCTCATTATCATCATACCAACGTAATCACACAACACTTTCGACAGCTGATTTTTATAGTTACATCACTTCACATGACTTGTTTCCATTGGTAGTAAGATGTTACATAACTCTGGTATAGGTATTGCATCATTTCTATCACATGCACTGAGTGTTGATTCGATGAACAAAGATTCATCAATCCATCTTTTCCTCTCTCCACCTAATTATATTGGACTGAAGTACATTGGCTTCATCCCAACCTATTGTGTCGTTGTGTGTTAATGCATGCATTGCAATAGACGAGTTTCCCTCCTGATTATTGATCTTATTCACGTCTGTCATTCCACATTTAGCTAAATTCCTATGTTCGGCTAGTCTAACCGGTTAGTTTCACCCATATACTTGACCTCACTCGCAGTCATTACATGGAATTTGATAGATTAGATTATGTTGCTGAATTGGTTCTGTTGGATTCTTAAGCCGACAAGGTTTATATCTGAGTTTGTAGGTTTAAATGCCACCTAACCCTAACCCTAACCCTAGACAGTGACATCATCAGCAATAACTTCAGTATGAAGTGAGCTATCAATATTTCTCCCTGAGTGAGTGATTTAGTGGCTTTCTCTGACGATGTGGTCTGTGATTGATAGTTTCCTCCGATTGTTGTGTCATTGACTGTATAGACTTTCTTGTTGGCTGTTCCTCTGCTTGACCTCTGACCTTTCTGTCATTTATCATCTTTCTTACTGGTTGATAGATCGCGTCTATGTCTAAATATCTGTTGATTGCTGACTGACTGCCCTGAATGTTAAGCTTCTAGGAATTCTCTGTCCAAAATTTCTACACTGTGATATATTATATTTTGACGTCAAATGACGGTTGAGTGGTAATGTTTCTGACTTTAACAATGAGTGATGCAGCTTCGAATTATCGAACATATACCACTTTAATTATTATCACTTTTATGCCTAGTTAATGAGTGCCATCAAAAGAGAAGCCAAGATTGAACGAGACCTCTCGTCGATTGACTATCATAATTTATTACTAAAATAAAGTGAACCAAAGTTTTACTTCACTTCAATGGGTAACTATATCACAAAACTTGATCGATAGGTTTCAATTCGTTTTGAGCACGAAGAAGTAGAAATATGCATTGATTATATATTGGTGACCTATATATGAGGATAATCTAGTGATATAGGGGATCACTCGTGGTCTCAGTAGCTTGTTGGCTAAGCCTTGAAATTTCATCATGAAATGACGCAGGTTTAAATCATGCATGGAGTACCTGTCTCCCTATGGTAGCATACGTATATCTTCCTGATGGGTGCCAGCAAGCCCAACACCCAGTCGATCAACTGTCACTGATTAACAGCGAAGAGAATACTTCTACTATATTTGAAGGGCGTGCCTAGTTTCTTCCATACAACTGTGAAATCTATCTACTTTGCCTTCTGCCAAAAAGTTTTCATTCTGTATTGGGTAAAAAAAAAGATGCAACAACATAATAAAAGACAAGTGAATCGCATGAGTGGCTAAAGTTTAAGTCTGTTTCGATTACATGCACAAATTACTTCTCAACAGATATGTTGATAAAGTGACAATTTATCATCCAGGCAACTAAATATCTGGTGGGTAACTGGTCAGTTGCGAAGACAGACGAAAAAAACTGTTTGGTATATAAGTGTACATTACCACTGATAAGGCCTTTGATGATTATTTATTATATTTATTTGTCCCTTGGGTTCCTAGGGGAACATATCGCTTCAGTAGCACGTCTCCATTCCACTCTCTTCTCTGCAAACTTTTGAACCTGGCTCCACGACTGACCACAACCTCTCTTTTCTTCCTCACACTATCTCCTCCATGTCACCCTCGGACGCCCACCTCGTCGTTTCTCATCTGATTTCCACTCGAGGAACTGGCCTGGCATGGCCTGGCGCCTGATGTCCCCAATCGGCCTTCTCAGTGAATGCCCAATCCAGTCCATCTCCACTCCCTTCTGCATATTTGTTGAGTGATGGGTTGCTGGTTGGTTGGTTGCCAGCCAGCCAGCCAGCCAGCCATAAGGAGTTCCTTGTTGCTTATCCTAACTTAACTATTCTGCCCATCTGAGCTTCAGTATCGAGCCAGTGTAGGCAGTTGTTGATGAGTGTCTGTAGTTTGTTGCAAATGCTTCTCGTAACGCACCATGTCTCTGAATCATCACATGGGAGCACTGACTCACTTGACTGACGTTGGTGTTGAAAATGTGGATGTTGTTCATGCTTTATGCTGAGTTGAGTTGAGTTGAGTTGAGTGGAGTGGAGTGCAGAAGATCTCCACACTGATTTCAGGTTAATGAACTCCTGTCTTTGTGTCTTTCCGATCCTGACTGACTTTGACGTCCTCGTCTGTGCCACCACGGTCTGTAGTTGAAACGGTGCTTCCTAGATAGGTGAACGAGACTACTTCCTTTAAGTTTCTCCGTTTGCTGGTGACTGGAGCTTGTTGTTGTTGTTTTTGTTTTGGTATCTTTATCATCTTTGTCTTCTCTACGTACACTTGAAGTCTCGTCTTCACCGATAGTCAGTTGAAGAAATGAATTCATCATCTATTTTGTTCTTGATTAAGATAAATAAAGCCTACAAAATGTAACAGTTTAATTGAGAGTACATTATATTGTTGAAATCCTCTGTATGTAAGCTAAAAGAAAAATTGGCCGTAAGATATTTTTGTAATTCAGTCGATGTTCCCTTAGAATTAAGTCAATTTATACGATATGTTCATTGTAAACGTACTATGACAAACCGATGTGTACAAACTGTAGATGTCAGTTTTTTTAACAGTCACTTTGATGATGAACAAAATGAAAGTTCTCTGTTCAATTATTCAGTCATTTTCTGATTGATTCTAATTAATTGCATTATTATATTATTATTATTAGTCCTTTGGGTTCCTAGTGGAATATAGGGCTTCAGTAGCACGTCTCCAATGACCTCTGTTCTCCGAGATCTTTTGAACCTGGTTCCAAGACAGCCCACAACCTCTCATTTCCTCCTCGCGAGACCTCCTCCATGTCACCCTCGGACGTCCAACTCCTCGCTTCCGATGGGGATTCCACTCGAGTAACTGGCCTGATGCGTGATGTCCTCAGTCGGCCTTCTCAGTGCATACCCAATCCAATCCATCTCCACTTCCTTCTGCATATTTGTTGGGTGGTAGGTTCTTGCTTCGTTCGTTCCTAGAGCTCCTTGTTGCTTATTCTAACTATTCTGGCAATCCATCTGATCTTCAGTAGCGAGCCAGCGTAAGCAGTTGTTGATGAATGTCTGTAGTTTATTGGAAATCCCTTTCGTGACGCGCCAAGTCTCTCAGCCATACAGAAGCAATGACTTGACGTTGGTGTTGAAAATGCGGATCTTGTTCCACATGCTGAGTGCAGAAGATCTCCACACTGGTTTCAGGCTAATCACTGCCTGTCTTGCTTTTTCGATCCTGGCTGACTTTGACATCTTCGTCTGTGCCTGTGCCGCTTCCTAGACAGGTGAAGGAGGTTACTTCCCTTAAGTTTATCTCGTTGATGGTGACTGGAGTTTGTTGTTGTTGTTGGTTGGGTATCTTCATCACCTCTGTCTTCTCCACATTCACTTGAATTCCATAGGAGAATTTTATTATTTGACAACAATAATATGTTTATTGTGTATATATCAGAGTAAAAAACCTTCCTAGATAGACAAACTGTTCACTATAATCAATTCAATAAAAGTATTTGATTAATTCACTTGACCTCAGATTTGTGTAACAATTTTGTATAGACACAAAGTTGTGCAGCATAATTTTTGTTCATTTTATTTCTCTATGAAATCAATGAAGTTGGTGTTTCGG